CGAAAGATTTTGACAATATTTCAAAGTTATTTTTCAATGCGTTGACGAAAGATTTTGACAATATTTCAAAGTTATTTTTCCCCTAGATGATTATACTCTTCCATGGAAAAGATCAAGTAAAATTCACTCAATGATCATAACACATTATGAAAGAAGCTACTTTGACAATATATAATGTTATGTAAGATGTTAAATTGATTCACCATAAAAACACTAACATAATAAAGCATGGGCACATTGGAATAGGAAGATTGCTAAAGTCAAGTTTAAAATCATCCAAACTCTAATTTCAACACATTCATAATCAAAATAAATGTTTCATTGTAACAAACCTTATGTCATCAAATTTAATTTTACTTGCGCCCAAATAAAACTCAATTGAGCACTTGAATTGAAATTAAACATTTAAATATTAATTGATGAGTTAATTGAGCATTTTTATGAGTTGAATGACCCATGATTGTTTAATTCATAAATTATTAACACATTCAAATATCTTTGAAACTCTATTTGATTAAGTTGTCACTTCAGAATGAGAAATAAATTGTTTTGAATTTTATTGTAATTAACAAAGAATGTTACTGTAAAAAAATTTATATAGGTTCTGACTCTCTATATAAGAGGGGGTTCATATTAAAGATTGAAAGAGCAAAATGATCTAAAGAATTGATGCGCTCTATCCAACTAGTGCCATTAGATTGTTATCACCTGATCATCGCCGTTAGTTGGAGGACTACCACTGCCCAACCATGACTATTGGACTATCATCCCACATGCACCATCATATGACTATAGTAGCCTGGTCAACATCACTTGACCAAAATCATTTGACCTCTATCACTTATTTAAGATCACTAAATCACTATCACCAGATCATCTTCATTTTTCTATGAGCGTCCAATCACCATACCCTTATTATGATTGCCCAATCACACCATCGCCTAATTATGAACACTCTGTCACAATATCACAATCACTTTAATATATTCATTTAACTTTTGTCACTAGCATAACGTTACTTAACCACTAACACTCGTTGTGAATTTATCGACCACCATCGCATATATAATCATTTGATCATTATTGCCTAGTTACAACCATTCGACCATCAATACTTGTGTATAATTGTTTTCCTGGTATCATCAACCAACCCTTATCGTTGGACTATGAACATTTGATCACTATTACCCAACTATAATCACTCTATTATCATTGTCCAACTACAAACTTCTGACTTTGGTCGGCAAATTAAAGTAGTTTAGCCACAATCATTTGATAATGGTCTCTTGACCACTATGACCCAACTACAATCACCTTACCCAATTGTATGACTACATTTACTTGTTCACCATTACCTCAGTCTCTAAACCATTTCACCTATTTATAGTTACCTAACCACAGTTCCTCCACTGCAAATTGTAGTCATCATTGACCACCTATTTATAGATCACCATTTCACTATCAGGATCACTCGATCATTATTGCTTGCCTTTAGACAATATAATCATTGATTATGATTGTCTGACCATTGTCGCTCGATTATGGTCGCTTGACCATGTTTGTCCGATTATGAATGCTTCTCCTTGAACCCCCGAGTACAATCACTCGACTACTTTCGCTTGACAGCAGTATTTTGACCATCATCGTCCAATAATGATCACTCAATAATTGTCACCAAATTATAGTGGTCGATTTAGCATCACCTATATAAGGTTTCTTCACTATGTAGCTCATCTATAGTTACCCAACCATAATCATCTAACCATGATTGCTTGACAATAACCGACTAGCTTTAATCACCCAATTATAGTTGCAAACAACCATATCACCCAATTTATGACATAGACCAATTGAGTCATTTTTAACTCGAGCAAATCTCATTATTATTTTCTATTGCGTATTTTCTTTTGTGTGTAAAAACTCACGCAGTAACATGCCCCATACGAAACTCATCTTTGATTTATAAATATGATGGATCTCATATAAACCCAAGAAGTTAATCATTCACTCAACCGCTACAAAAAAAAAAAAAATATATCCCCCACCACCCCCCCAAAAAAAAAAAAAAAAAAAAAAAAAAAAAAAAACATCTTCGTTCATTCAACCCCTACAATTTTTGTACGCGCAATAACTATATTAAGGATTGATTAAACCTTCTCATCTAACCTTATTCTTTCAAATATGTTCATGAATTTGACTATGGATTGTGACAAATGCTTTGCAGCGATATGGAAATCATGTTCTTTTAGATATCGTTGTGAAGTCGATCGTATATACACGAAGCTTCGAAGAAGTCATGAATTGGTTAATGTTTGAAAGCGTTACAAGAGAATGAATTTTGTAATATTGTACATATGTGTGTGTGTGTGTGCGCGCGCGCGCGCATTAGGCTTTCATGGTCTTCGGTTTTGTTACTAACCTTTCGACAGATGGGCTTGCCTTCGACAGTCTGATAGCTTTTCGGTCAGCAGGATGACTTTCAGTCGGTTGAGTTGACCTTTCGGTACCGTTAGATTTTTTAAGAATCAGTATGATCACGTTTTTAATATACAAAAAATATATGAGAATTGTGTGCTACGTAACTACATTTCTCTATTTAAATATAGTAGATTACAAATATACACTCCATACAGACGCGATTCAGTTCTTAAATTTTTGACAACTATAACAACTACATTAATTGATATTCTTCACCTTTAAATGGGCCGGAATATTCAGGTTTGTCAGCGACCAAAGAATAGCCCATCAGCAGGAACAAACACAATAATCATAATTACATTTACCCACATACTATATTTTTTTTTAAGAGAAGTATCAAAATAATCCTGAATTTATTTTAATCCTAAAATTAATAGAATTATAAAATTAATCTGACTCCTTAAATCCTGAATTTATTTTAATCCTAAATTGTATTTTTATTTATTAATCCTAAAATTAATAGAATTATAAAATTAATCTATCACATGAATGACTTTTAGGCTTTATTTTAAAAATAGTCAGGAACTATTTAAATACTTTTATAAAATTAAAATAATAATGGTCCTTTAAAAAAAATGAAATGTTATAAATATAAAAAAAATAAATTTAGATATTATAAATAAAAATACATAACAAAATTGCGTCATATGCCCTAAATAAAAAACTATTAGCACATGTTTGGGGCTGCCATTTTTGGTTCTTGGTGGAGCCGCCGCAAGGGAAGCCAAGAAGGCACCGCAATTCCTTCGTCGCCATAAATATAGAAGCGAAGGGAAAATAAATAAAATAAAGAGAGAAAACCTCGACCCAAAACTTCGCTGCTATGCACGCAATTGATCTCTTTCTTCTCTGGTTATTCGCCGCTCTCGATTTCCCATCCGATAACTCTTTTTTTCTGGCTTCAAGTTGTCTCTTTTCTCTTCCCCATTTCTGACCATTATCGGGTTCTTTGTGTTTCGCTCTTCCTCCGCTCATACCGAATTTGAATCTGCTGCCCCTTTCGATAGTTACGCGAGGAGATTGCCTTTTTGGGTTCGTTTGAAAGACGGGATTTTGCTGAGGGCCTTTCTTGTTTCGGTGTGATTTTATTTTGTAATTCTGCTTAGCAGGTAATTACTGGTTCTCGGGGTCTGTTTATTATTTTGCCTGATATGTTTGTAGATATGTATATTTTTTTAATCTGTTGTTTTGCGTCTCTTCAAGTTTTAAAGTTTGTTCTTTTGAAGTTCTAATGAGATATATGAATAGTTTTGCTGCTTCGGTTGGGTTTGAGTTATGTTTGAATCAGGGTGGTGCACATGTTAGGAATAAATGTGCATATAGCTTGTGGAAATTGGAGAATGATGATTGTTAACTTGTTGTTCTGAAAGTTTGGTTTAAGATTTTCTTTCAGCTATTTTACCTCCTGATTTGCAAAAGAAATTTATGCTTAAAATTCTTTTTTTTTTCCCCGTTGAACCATTGATTGGGTTCGTTTCTGAAACTTTGGAGGTTGTATATTGTGTAAATAGTTCTTGTACTTGTTCAGGTTATTTGTTGTTCTGTTTGTAAGTTGGCATATTGTTGGGAAGAGAAGAAATAAAACTAGAGCCAAAACGAGGATAGAACTAATAATTGAAAAAGACTCAACATAGAAGGATGATAAATCAAATATTATGGATAAGAGTACACCATTATTTCATTTGCTACACACAACTTAAATACCGAGAGAGGTATATTAAATTACCAAACAACAACACCATCAATCTTCCTTTCTATTCTCTATTGCTAATGTGCTCTTATATAATCCTAAAAGTTAATTTGTTCTATGATGCTAATAGCTTAGGTGCCGTTTGGGATCAATTTTGTTTTTTATTTTCTATTATTTGTATTTATTTTATTTTTTTATGTTTTGATTTGAAACAAAACATGTTTAGCATATTTCATAAGAAGTGGTTGTTTTTAAAAATACTCAAAACAAGTTTGTAAAAGCACTGAAAATGCCTGAAGTTATTTTGAGTGTTTTAAAAAACATCTTAATATGTTTTAGAAATTAAATACATGAAAAAAACCTCACTAAACAAATATGCTTTAAAAAATTAAAGAAAAAAATGATCCCAAACAAGCCCTTAGTTAATATTTATGCTTTATCTTTATTCAAGGAGTTTATGTTCTCTTTCATTGCATGTAACCACTTTATTGTCTTTAACTAGTATTGCTTCCTGAATACAATATGGTTTACTAATATCGGTAGTCAATTATTTAGTTAGAGAAGGCATGCATATATGAGCTGGCATAAGTATTCCTTGAGATCCTCTCAACTCTATAACATGTGCAATGTGCTCTATTTGGGTCTTAATACTCTCAGGATTCTTCTATCATTTTAATTCCACATTATTTTAAAATTTTCTCATGTTTAACGTATTCACTTGTGGAGGTTCTTATGCCTCAAGATCTATCTTTTTATATTATAGTTTGATTAAATTTAACAATCCTACTTTTTTTTATTTTGATCATCTTCAGATTTATAGCCAAAATCAACAACTTCACGTCCAACGGAATATTATTTATTCCATTTGCAATTAGAAAGATTAAAAAACTTGAATAAATTAGATTTGCATTGTTATTAGTCCAAACTTCTTCCAGTAGTTTATAACTCAAAGAATCTTACGGTTCTTTGTTGACTAGATAAACTATGACACTAACATTGCTTGCTCAAAACTTCTTTGTCAATCTCGCATTTGATCTCATGCCTTTCATTCTGACTTTTGTTCACACGCTTGATAGTGTTGCTATGTTGTGGTATTCCTGGAGCTATTCTCCCCATACAAATCCCACTACCTACCCAAAGTTTCTTGAATACATTGTTCTTGTATTTTTCTTCCATTATCAAATTTTATACACTATTGTTGCATTGGGTTTATTTCTCCCTATTTAAACTTGTCAAAGCTGTTAAATTTATTTCTTAGAAAATAGGCATATCTTCTTGGTGTAGTCATAAATGAATATAACATGGTTAATTAAGCCATAATAGAATGTCATTAGAGATGGGCCTCAAACTAGCATGTGTATGAGTGTAAAATATGAGTTTTTGGTCCCTTCTGATATTTGAGAAATTGATCTTCTTTTCTTTTCAAGTATATAATTCTTTTTTGCTGCTTATACTGAAGGACAAGGCATATTATTATGCATTATGCTATCTAATGGAGAACAAATTTTTATTCAAGTTTGAAATATACCTTTTGCTATGAAGCTTCTATACAATCTTATTGATAATTTTGTTTTAAACATCACCAAGTCTTGTAATGCTGAAGGGCTTGTCATCAATATGGGATTTTTGATTCTTGTAGAATAATTAAGCATGAGTCCTCCATGTGAAGTAGAGAAAAAATACACACTTGTGTCTAGGATCTCAGTGTTCTTGAGATTATTGACATGCTTTTTACTTGTATGATGTGGGCCTACTCTTATGTTCCTTTAGCAATCTTCTTCTCACATGAGAGCTCTTCATATTGACCACTATTCTTCCCACATGAAAACTTTTCAAAATTATTGTTTAGTTTTTATCAAATGTCCACTCAACTATATGGTTAATTCATAAGAGACCTCTACTATTGAATATTGCTTGACTAAAGTAAAAGACATTTAAGGTCAATGGGAGTTAGATACCATATGAATGACTTGTACTTTGATATCATTTGTTAGGGAGTGTGGAGCAAATGGGAATCAAAGCTGGCTTGATATGACCAAATGATAAAACTTATTACCTAAAAATTTAAATTTTTGGGAGATTATCAAATACTTGATTTTTTTACACTTTATTTTCACCTATCCAGCGTGAGGGTAAACCCAATAATCTCATTTTACTTAACACTTTGAGTATCCAAATTCTTCTCCTCAAACTTCTTCATTTTCACTTTTCCACCTTAGATGGTCATTGTTCTACAACTTTCCCTTGGGACTGTATTTTTGACTTTTATATTAGTTAAAAAAAAAGCGAGAGCTAAAGAGAGTGAAAAAAAAGTGCAAAATATTCTAACATGGAAAGTGCAAAATTTAAATGATTTGGCGAGATTAAGTTGCTTACATCAATTAATGAGTTGAGAAAAAAATTCTGCATTATTGAGAGGGGTACTACATAAATTTATTTTTACACCTTCCTTTAATTGTTAATAGAACGATAATAAAGGCCAAATAATAATATTTGAAACTTAGATTAGTTGGTGTCAAGGACCATGAGTCATATTTCTTGTACGCTATTGCTATAATATTTTCTAGCATCTCCATATTTCTCTTTGGACCATTGTGCATATCCACCATCATGCTAACTTACATCAACTTGCTTGCTTCATGCTGGTATTTGGCACTAACATGCATCTATTTGAAGAATAATAAACAAATTTGATGAAATTTATTTTAAAAATACTGAGCTTTCTTTCTGTTTAATTTGAAGCTTATCTTTGATAACAAAATTTGCAACAAAATTTTGAACTTGATAACTAGAATTTAAATTGGTGGCTATTTTGTGGAGCAAAAAGCTGGCTTTTATTAAAAGCACTCTAAATTGCAGTTGCTAACTTAAATTTCTTTTTGAAAGTATTTTCCAATGTCCTCAGAGGGCATTGCATACTCTTTAGATATAGTTTGTCATATTATTCTTATGATTTTTTTGTTGCAGATGATCCTATAGTGGTATGGGCTGGTTGCTCTCCTTTAGCTTGACATATCACGAATGATGTTTAGTGCTCAAAAGAGTTTTCTCGATCCTATCAGATTGAAATGGCAATCGAAAAATGAATCTTCAGTGAACGTTCATTTGCTGAGTGATGAGCCACCTGAGATAGAGCTATCTGATTACGGAATAATGCCATGTTCTGATATCGAAAACCCGTCGGAACTACTGAACGGTGAAGGGCTGAAAGAGGAGCCAATTGCCGATTTAGATCTTTTTTTTGAAAGTCTGTACAATTATTATTGCGAAAAAGGGCTGCTATGCATTGTGATTAAGTGGATAGTAGAACTGCTAACGGTGGTGTTTGTATTGGGATTCATTTGGTTTTTCTTATTGGTTGTTGATTGGCGTGCGCTGCGCAACACAAAATGTGGTATAGAAGCCGTTGAATCGGGGCAGAAGCCTTGCGATCTTGCAAAGGAAGTCATCAATCAACATCCATTAGTTCCTTTCACATTTACGAAAGGAATCATTGTTGGTTGCATGATTATTTTGACTATTTATGGCCTCTTCAACTTTTTGAAGTTTTTTGTGCAATTCAAAAATACGTTAAAGATTCGTCATTTCTATTATTACAGGTGAATTCCAGTCGATTGGTATTTGCTACATTAAATGTATTTTAAATTGGAAGTTATATATCTGAATGTGCTTCTTGCTTAATTTTCTATTTTTAGCCTTAATGTCACAGATCGTGAAATGAGGACTTCCCCTTGGCCAACAATTCTCGAAAAGGTGGTTCGAGTGCAGAAGGAGCGCCAACTTTGTGTGGTAAAGGAACTTTCTGCTCATGATATTGTAATGCGTATCATGCGTAAAGAGAACTATTTGATTGGAATGCTCAACAAAGGTGTTTTGGCGCTGCCGATCTCATGGTGGGTTCCTGGAGCTGGGCCTTCAGTTATCTCTAAGGCAACTGGCAATAAATACCATTTAATATTACCTAAAACACTCGAATGGACTCTGAATTGGTGCATATTTCAGAGCATGTTTGACAGGTAAGAATGTCTTTTCTCAAACCTTGAAGCTGTCATGTATTTTGAATGTAGTTTAGGGTACCAATTTAACACTTTTGATAGAAAATAATTTATTTTTTGCCTTTAAAAAAAATGGATTTGTTTATCCATCCTGAAGCTCTTTTCTTATTATATAGTTTGAGATGTTATGTTTTTATATGCAAAATTCCATGATCATTGGCATTTTGGAATAGTCGGTTTGTTTTATTTGCCTTTGTTTATGATGATGTTCTTTGTTATTTGATGTGGTGTGGCTTTCTTTGCTTCTCGGTAACTTTTTCTCAAGAGAGTTTAATCATTACTAAGTTATTCTACTTCTATTTTTTTCATGTAGAAACATTATAAAGATTTTTAGAATGTTTGTTTTGTAAAGGGGAACCTTATTTGCTCGTTAGTGTTTTGGTTGTTTATTTATTATCTTGTTCAATTACAGTCTTACTCTTAGGCACAACAAGTTACTTGTTGATAAGCTTGATAAGACTTATTTTATTAGTTAACAAGCTGCCTGATAATTTTGCTCCTTAATAGGATTGACAAGTCTTATTTAGTTTGCTAACAAGACACTAATTAATAGGATTGATACGACTCATTTGGCTAGTTAATTGCTTCATATCACAATCATTATTTGGCTCAATAAGGCTAATTTATTTTTCTAAATGATCTGCTCATTTAAAAATTTATAATCTTAATATTAATTGAACTTATAGCCAAGCTCAAACCGATTCAAACATCCATGATTTTAAACGAACTAAGTCTGAACACAATCACCTGAGCTTGAATCGAGCTCAAATCGATATGATAAGATCTTCAATAAATGAGCACGAGCTTGAACAAGCTTTTGCTCTTCTTAGTTCCGTTTGTATGTGGCATTATGAGTGCTCAATGCTACAACGTACATGCTTTATTGCGAGCGTGCATCACCACGCAATGATGCATAGGGTCAGTACCTTGGCTTTGCTCCTAAAGCATGCTTTTAACAATATTCTTTTAAAACCTAGTTTTCACATGTTATTGTTTGTTTCATAGGAGTGCTTTCTTTATGCTAGTTGTTCCGAAGTTGAATTCAATAAGCTGAATTTCTATTATCTTCAGAAATTATTGTTTTATTCCATTTTGACTGCTTAGCATTTCATGCATCGAGGCAATTAAAAAAGAATGAACTACTGCAATTATGATAAAATCATAAGATTGCTTGGCCCTTTCATGCAAGACATGAAAATTATTGAAAACATATAATTTTACATCAAAGCTTGTATTTATGTTAGTATTATAAAAATTCTTATTTATTTAAGCTTAAAATTTTGATGTAAAGCATACATCTTGAAAACCGTTGAACTATTGGTTCGGAATTAAATTTTGATTATATTCAACAAAATCAATGTTCATGTAAGTTCAGATTGACACGATATACCCCTTGATGAACAATAGAAGTTTAATCAAACATTGTGTGCACTTGATTTAGTTAGATTATGGGCCATATGGGTCTAAGCAGTTTGAAGTGGAATAACCCAAAAATATGAATCTATTGGTTCATCCTGGGTACATGAGCTCGACCAAATTGCCTGTACAACGTGAACCACAACTGAGAGCATAAGTTGTTTTTTATCGCTTTGAACTCTATTTTATTGCCACAAACGAAATGGATTCTAATCGGCTGCTGACTTAAGTCGCCTATCTTTCTAACAGGCCAATACTTTGACTTGATGTAGCTGGTCGACGAACTCAGCTATCACCCATAGGTGGTTGACATGCGTAATATTGAGTGACAAAGAGAAAGGAAGTAAGGGCACTTCTTATTTGTGTAAAAAGTATTTTACTCAGCATAGGTTTCAATAACAAAAATATTTCTTAGATAAAAGCTAGAGAATCTGGGTTTTACATCAGAGGGTTTTATTATAATGAATCATGTACATTGGCTAACAAAACATCAAAGAAAATACTTGAGGACCAGGTGCTTGACCTAATCAACCTCCTAACTTGAGTCCACTTACTTTGTCAAGATTTGAACCCGTACGTTGGAGGTAAAAATAATAATTAGATAAACTTAGTGAAAAATGCCTGAATCCAATTTCGTAGAACCATATGGTTAAGGGAAACTACCTGCTAATAATGAAATTTACTTTGATTTGTTGAGGATCCAAATGGATTACTAGTCATAAAAAGTTATTGTTGACTGTTCACTAGAAGCTCTCTATTGCATAACCTATTAAAGTTTCTCCTTGATCTGTGTTGGTTAGTTTTTGATTTCTACATAACTTTCTCTTTGAAGGTTGAATCGATGAAACATTAACTTTAGTAGGGCCTATGATGGCACCATCAACTGCTTCTGGCAAAGAGCATTAAACTTCTTCAAAGATTTTCATTTCCCCTGCACTTCCTCTTGTGCAATTATGGTTTACTCTACATCATCTTAATGATAGATCAATGTTGCTTATTGAATGGAAACCTTGCAGTTCTTTGGATGAAGACACTAATTGATACCAAACTGAGTCTCTTAAACTTCTTTTAAAAGAAAGTACCACCTTGTTTGAGGTCATTTGCTGCCCATAAAGAGTTAATGTCTCAAATTTTGAATCATACTCCATGAATGGATGATGATGGGTAAGTCAACTCAGTTTTCGCAACTATCGGAGTGTACTTTGCTATGAATGATTCCTCGAACTCTTCTCAAGTGATGGTGTCTGGGTTGGTTTATCATATAGATAGACCATCTAGTTGTCCACCAATGCTCCATATATTTTTTATGAGTGAAAATTTCTATGGTTGTCTTCCAATCGTTAGGGTATGCCCTGCCCTGGTGGATTCGTTGTTCCTCCAACTAAATCAATTTGAGCTTTAGAAATTGGTCCAACCACTGGTCTCTAATCATCCTAGTTTTAAGATTTGTATGTGGCTTGCAGAAGCGCTATCTAGGCTTGTATCAAAGGCTCTAGGAGTATCTTTGTCAACTAGATCATGAAATAGCTTTGTCAACTTGATCTCCATACTGCTTCACTTCAGGCTTGCTTCATTTCTCAATCTTTAGTTCTTATCTCAATATCAGAAGTATGGTTTTATCGCATTTTTTTTTTATATTTATTATTTTTTGTTTTCAAATTTTTAATGTGCACAATTTATTTATTTATTTTTTAAACCCAAAAAGGCTGATATATTAAATAGAAAGAAAGTTATAGATACAATGTGTGGGAGGGCCCAAGCATGACACCCTGCCCACACAAAAAAAACCACAAAAAGTTTCAAAACTAGAAAAGATAGAAAATACATTAAATACTAAAATAAAAAGCACTAACAGTGCCGAAATACATAGTATCAGGTGGCTAGAGAGCGACCCAATTTGGTCTTGCCTCTGCCTCTAGTTCTAGGGAAGGAGCAAGCTAATAAGTTGGTAAGATGATTGTAATTGCCAGATCAGGTGGCTAGAGAGCGACCCAATTTGGTCTTGCATCCGCCTCTAGTTCTAGGGAAGGAGCAAACTAATAAGTTGGTAAGATGATTGTCATTGCCAATAGTAACTAATGTATCATCCATTATGTTCCCGAGTTGGAGTCGGCCTCCATTCTTCTTCTTCCTCCTGGAATAGCTCTAAATTTTATAATTAAATTTATTATTGTGTTGAAAATTATTAGTTTATTCGCTTTAGCTTTGATTAATTAAATTATTATTATAATCATAGAATATTTGTATACATGATGTGCAAATCATGATATCCCTGCTTAGTAAATTCTTTGCTTCACTTTGCTTATTAAAGCAAAAAATGAACCCTTGTGCATTGATACGATCCGACGCAGAATTCGACACAATTTTCCAGAGAAATTTGGTTAAACCAATATTTTTTTCAATAATGTCAAATTAAAATAATACAACACGATAAACTTACAAGAATATAAATAATAAGCACCACAATTTGAGAGGTATGCGATCTCCCACAAATCCTACAATTCTAGAGGTAAAAATTTCTCTAAAACCCCCAACCTAAGACTCCAAGAAAACAATCTCATGCATAACCCTAACCCTATGCTATTATGTTGTATTTATCCCGAAAAACAATAATAATAGAAGATTAATTTGCTCTTAGACTAATAAAAGACAAAAGGGATTTATAATTTGGGTTGCAAGAGCTGAAAGCTAAAAGCTCATTTTTGATGGCTGATTTATAATTTGATTTTCGCTCTTTTTTGCAGCAAGTTTTGTATTCGAAGGGATTTCATCACAAATCCTTCGTTACTAAGAAAGCGACTAATGGTGGTTGGGATTGTGATGTTTGTGATATCTCCATGTCTTGTAATTTTTATGTTGGTATATCTTTTCCTATGGCATGCTGAACAATTTTATAACCATCCGAGGACAGCTTCTTCACGAAGATGGTCTAACTTGTCAAAATGGATTTTCAGAGAGTTCAATGAGGTAATCTAAATTATACTGCATTTTGTTTTTTCTGTTTTAATTTTGGTGTATGATTTGAAAGAAATGCATTATTATAAGATTTACGTGCATACCACTGAATTCTCATATATTTACATATCTAGCACTTAAACTTTAATTTTTACTTGCATGCGACCTTATGCTTGCTTTACAAAGTTAAAATAGTGGTATTTTTGTCATGATATGAAAGATTTGGGTGGTATAAATGTATACAGGAAAGCTTAGGCGTTACATGTGTAAAAGCATATGAATTGGGTAGTATGTATGTTAATGTCCCTTCTTATAATCCATCTTACTTGCGCAATTTATGATTATTGGCTGCCTTGCTGTCTTTTCTTCATATCAATGATGGGAAGATGATTGAGGATACCAATGCAATTTTTTTTTTTTTTTACATATTAGTGTTTTTTTTATGGATTATGAAGTTTTATTTTATTGGTATTTGCATTTTGGTCTTCCATGCAAATTCAGGTTGGTCATTTCTTCAGACATCGGCTGAACAATAGTGTAGTTCATGCCTCGAGCTATCTGAACCAGTTCCCTTCTCCTGTTATCTCCACAATTGCCAAGTTCATCTCTTTTGTGTCGGGTGGTTTCGCGGCCATTTTGATTATAATTGCTCTTCTCGACGAATCTCTTCTGGAGGGCCAGGTAGGTGCATCTCAAACACTAAAAGAAAATTTAGGGGCATTTACATACATCCCGCCCAATTCTTATGCTTTTACATTCTAACACCTAAATTTTAATTTTTACATTTGTACAATGCAAATCTTCACCTAAAAAATACCACCATTTTAAATTTTAAATAGTGAAGTAAACCTTTTCATGCATAGGTTAGGTGGTATATATATGTAAAAATTGAAAGATGTAAGTGTTAGATATGTAAATACTATGAATTGAGTGGTATGTGTGTGAATCTTCCAAAAAAATTAAAATAGGAGAATACTGAACTGAATTTGTACTGTATTGGATGGGCAGATATTTCGGCGCAACTTGTTTTGGTATGCTGCTATCTTTGGAACAGTGACTGCTATCGCCAGAGCTGTGGTTACTGATGAGCTTCATGTTCTTGATCCTGAAGGAGCAATGGCTTTTGTTTTCCAACAGACGCATTATATGCCGAAGAGATGGAGGAGAAAAGAAAATAGTGATACAGTTCGGGCAGAGGTCGAAACTCTTTTTCAGGTAAGTTGTTTTAGTTTTTCATCTTACCATACTGCTTATTTATTTGATGTCACTGTCATTGAAGGCATAAATTGATTGAAACTTCAATACATGAACTATTCTATTGAAAATTTAACAACTTACGATGTAATGGTATACAACAACAACAACAAAGCCTTACGATGTAATGGTATAAATTGTCAAAATTGTCCTTGACTATTTAGATGAGGCCATATTAGTTCTACAGTTTGCAAAATTGCTAAACTAGTCTCCTCTCATGGGCACCTTTAATTAATAGTCACCTTTAACAGATAATGAGGACTAAATTGACACTTTATAGAATCTGAATTAAAATGTCCCCCAACAAAGAGTTGAGGAATCATCTCAACACTTTTCTCTAATGGTATAATATCAATTGGTGAATACTATAAATGTCGAATGCTAAAGGGTCAGTGACAATGGACTCATGCTGGTCCCCTTGGAGGGGGATCCGGCCATATTGAAAATTTAACAACTTACGATGTAATGGTATAAATTGTCCTTGACTATTTATATGAGGCCATATTAGTCCTACAGTTTGTGAAATTGCTAAATTAGTCTCCTCTCATGGGCTGAAATTGTGTCTAATAGTCACCTTTAACAGATAATGAGGACTAAATTGACACTTTATAGAATCTGAATTAAAATGTCCCCCAACAAAGAGTTGAGGAATCATCTCGACACTTTTCTCTAATGGTATAATATCAATTGGTGAGTACTATGAATGTCGAATGCTAAAGGGCCAGTGACTATGGACTCATGCTGGTCCCCTTGGAGGGGGGTCCCGCCGCTCCCTCCTACTTCTTTTCCTTTTCTTTTCCTCCCCTCATTGTCTTCCCTTTTTCTTTCTTTTCTTTATTGCCTCTCTAAACCTTTCCTAAAAATCAAAATCTAATTTTATTATCCTTCTAATTTTAAAACCATTGCATGAAATCTGAAATCTGATTTTTTTTTCCTATTTTAAAAGTCAAATCTGATATTATTCCTTTCTTATTTTAATATTTCCTAAACTTGAGTTAAGTCTTTTATAAATAGGAGTTCTAATGTCTAGGGTAAAGGTCTTGATCTTAAAATCTAAATTTAGTTAAGTGTTTTCGCTCTAGAGAGCTGTATCCGAGGATGAGGAAGGTCCTCCGGCCTCCGAGGTGTTGTTTATCTTCATCGTTTCGACTACTTTCCGCTATCTTGTAGCTTGCCCAACCGACAACTTCCTTGCCTCCCTCCTACTGCTCCAGAGCACCACCTTATACCACATTCCACAAGAGAAGGCACCACACCACTTACCACATACCACAACCACCTCACTCTTAACAGGCAACACAATCACAACTCAAGGCAACCAAAACACAACCAGTACCACAACAATCAACACCACCACAACCCAAGACCACCACAACCCACAGGCCACCACAAGAGAAAACACCACACCACAAACCACAACCAACTCACCCTCGCACACAACACAACTACAGTCCAAGACAACCACAACACAATCACTGTAACATTGCTGTCTACAAATGAAGCCCACTCTTTCATCCAACACAACATCACTCACACAAATATCACAAACTTCTCACAATAAAATGGAAATGAAAAATCCGAAAATTAAGCCTTTCCATCGAAATTCACCACACGAATTACTTACAGAGCACCACAATTAGGCATCGGAGGGAGGAGGTGGAGAAAATAGGCAATGATCGAGAGAGACGCGTGCAGAGGAGACACGGGAGTGATCGAAAGAGGCATGAGATGAGGGCAGACGAAGCGCGAGAGGGCATGGAATGAGGGCATCACCGTAAAACTATTTCTTCGAACGTTGACCGCGTGGTCTAATCCGCGATCGCGTTTAACAAATAAAATTTTTGAATTATCGTGAAACGCTGCAGCGACACTGAAACCAAACGTCTCCGTCTTCATTTTCAAAACGCACCTCAGCAAATAAGCTGCGTCAATTAGACTCATATTGCCCTATTTTATGTTCAATTTCAGACCTCATTCACAGTTTTAGTGACACACTGTCAACAAATTTCCACCATAAGACACAAATTTCGAAGCAAGTCATGACTCTCGAGTCAATTTTTTGAGCAAGAAATGTTCAAACTTCAATTAAAATTCATCCAAAATTCTGATGTCAACAAACTTACAATTAAATTGACTGGCTCGACGAGACGGACACAATGATACCAAAATTGATCCAATCCGAATCAAATAAATCCTAGATCAAGTCGTAAGCCAATTTTGGAAGCTTTTGGAAAGATGAATTCCAAATCTAACATGCTTATATTCAAATCGAGCATCTAGACAAGATAAATCTAGCGAGTGCAGGATAACTCAATTCTGACATCATTGAGACACTTAAATATCCACAGAACACTATCTGATTGGGAGAATTTCCCCAGCCCATCCGATCATAGTAGTTTGAATTCCTTTTTTATTTGCAATTTTGGATCTATTTATTTAAGAGTGTAAATAAGCTGAGTTGGCTAGAGCTCGGCCAGTTAACGAACTCATAAGCCGAGCTTATCAAGCCACGATCTCTTCTCGGTTTGGCTCGTTGGCTAGCTTCCCAACTCCGTTAGCCTATTGCTAGTCATTTCGATATATTTTTCATTGAGCTACCACTGCATCCTCCTCCGCTACCAATATCATTTTTGGTGAGCTCCATTAAAAATTGAATTTTTAGTTTGAGCTCGCAACCCGACTGCTACCACTACGAGTCGAGCTTGAGTTCGAACTAGCCATTTGAGATCAAATCGAGTTTATGCTCACAATTTAACACACGAACCTAGCCCTACCACTCTCTTGAAAGCAAAACTAGACCCTGAGCTAGATGAAGACCGGAGCTTGTAGAAGGTGTTAAAGCCCGACATAATTTATGCACCAATGATCCGGGGAACTCCCCTTGCTCCTTCAGCCATTGACCACTGTAGTCCATCACTTGCTGATCACAATTGACCACTATCGACAACCACCTCCTTACAACGAAATGCTTTGCAGAGTCATAATGTGCTTTGCAAAATTTAAGTATGTGTTGCGAAACAACGAAGTACCACGCAGAACAGCGTGTAACCTAGTACGTCGCGCTACGACACACCTTAAGATAATGTGTTGTTTCTTAGAGTCTGTTTGGGGCAGCTGATTTGGTGTTGTGACGTTTTGAAAATGCAACTGAGTTGTTTAGGTAAACTGCGTTCTGACAGCTTATGAGTTTTCAAAACCCTGAAAACAACATTTTCACACCGCACCTGTCTAGGTGCGGTGACAACTTTCTAGCTGCGGACTGACTTTTCTAAACAAATAAAAATTTGTAATAACTACCGCTCCTGACTTATCAGCAGATTATTCAATAAGCTGCAGTTGCCCCAAACAGACCCTTAGTAATCTTTTCCATCTGCAGTCACTCTTGACTTTTGCCTGACGAACATTGTATCTTAAAGAACTGTGTAGTCCTTCCACCCCTGTGGGACATGAAATTATATATGTAATCAACAAATCATAATGGATTGTGTTGACTGGGCCAAGGCCCGTTATTTTTTTCTTTTCTGGAATTTCTATGTAAAAGCTTTTGTTTTCTATTGTTTTTTTTATTTGTGTTGGATTCTTGTACAATGCTAAGACGATGATTTATTACTCTACCGCTATGAATTTTTTAGCACATTAGTATGATAATTTAAGTGTGAAATTCATACTTTTTTTTGCATTTTTTTCTTGATATAAATCATATTGATACTTGGTAGGTTAATTTAATTTAGTTTTGTGCAAGTTCATTCAGGAGAAATTTTGACACCTCTCTACATCATTCTGGGCCTAGAGGTGTAAGTGAACCAAGCTTACTCGTGAGCCGGCTCTGGCTTGACTCAATAAAGGCTTTGTGATCTGAGCTTGATGAGCTAACAAGTCGAGCTCAAGCCAAACCCGATTCGATTCGTTTAAAAAATATTAATATAAGATATAATATATTAAAATTTCAGTTTTTATCTTTAAATTATTAAAATTATTTAAAAAATGATATTTTATATTTATAAATCATGTGATTTCTTACTATTTATATCTTAATTTCCATTTTAGTTGTCATTTTATATTGATATTGTTTTTTCTCTTTTATAAGGAACAAGATAGCTTGTGAGCTGGTTCAAATTCATCAACTTAAGATTGAGCTCGAGCTTAAACTCCAATGATTAGTCTAGCTCCAGCTCCAGCTCCAGCTCCAGCTCAAGCTGAGGTTGGCTTGAGCTCAACTCAATTGGTTTACACGGCCTATCCTGGGTTACTTGGGGAAATTTGGGTCCAAACATTGCGTTACGGGATGCGCTTATGGGTGGTGTAAACACCACGGCCTTGTCTTCATCCCTTACCACGTTATGAAAAATGCATATAGATTACATGCATAATAATTCATATATTTCCCCACCGCGTTAGGAAAAGCACGTATAGTTAATTAATTTTGAATTACCTTCGCGTCACGAGCGTTACATATGAGTTTTGCTTTGCCATGTTACAAATAGGGTGTATAGGATTTTGCTCGTTGCACCAAACGCATCACAATAGGATTTCTGAAGTTTTGAGCCGTACGAGTTTTTATTCCTTCCCATGCAAAGGTTATTGACAACAACGAAGCTTCAGTTATATCAAATACATTACAATTTCTATTTCTATCTGCGTCTCTTTTTTTCTCTTAAAGCGGAAGACAAAGGTTATTTTGGTGGTGACTGTTTTGGTAGCTGGCTGCCGTAGTGGCATGGTGTGGTGGTGGAGAGTGCATTTCTCTTGACTATTGTAGGAAGGACGAGAAGCAGCGGATTTGCTGTTTGGTGGAGAGGTCTGGGCTGGGCTGGGAAGTACAGCCAGCGGCCTAGATATTGGGTTTGCTTCTTGTTGGGGGCGAGGAAGAGTGGATAAGAGAGGGAGAGCTGGGTAGGAAGAATTTGTAGTGGCTGAGAGTGATCTGCGGCTGGGTAGGAGGATAGCTTGAAGGCTCTCAGGCTTGAAATGGAGAGAGGCGAATGGGGTTGCTGCAGGCTCTGGCAAGGGAGCAAGTTGGTTCTGCGAAGTTTCGGCAAGGAGCTTGGCTGGGTAAAGAGCGATAGATGGGTACGGTGGCCTGCAATCTGAGAGAAAAAATGGTGCAGGGTTTGTGTGGAGTCCCAGTTTGGAGAGCTGCAGGCGAGAGCTGGTATACCAGGACTGGGGGTGACGGTGGGAGGTGCTGCGGGCTGGGGACTGTCACATGAGGTGAAGGAGCAGGAAAGGAGGGTAGCAGAAGAACTTTGCAGGACTGAACGGTGAAGAGAAATTGGATTAGATTTGTTGTGGCTGATTGGACATGAAGGGGTGGGATTGCAGAGTTTTGGGTGGCTTAAGACAGAATAGCAAATGCAGATGAAGTGTTTGCTTTGGTTCACATGGAAGTAATAGTGTACCTGATTAATTAATTTAACTTTTTATTCGAACATCCAGATTTACGTTCCGTTGATGAGTGTACAAAAACCAGAGAGTGTGGGTGTCCTCCCTAAACAAATTTAATGTGCTTGTGTGATCCATTTTGCAATCGAACGTTGCATGGGTAGCTTCAACAATGATTGACACAGTTGGGACTCAATTTGCATGCTATTGTATCTGTTGCTCATCATTTTTATCAAGTAGTCTCTACCGAGCAATTCCGACATGCATTAGCCAAGTTCTTTCCGTAAATGACCAGTGTTTCAAATTGCTTCGAGCATTTTGATCTCAATTTGTTGTGACGTTGCATTCAGCACTTGTCATTCCTACGATTCCTCTATTTCAAAATTTTTAGCATTTTGATCTCAATTTATTTTTTCTGCATGCAGTAAACTGAAATAATGTTTTTTTTTTAATTATTATGTATGCAGTACACTGCAATAATGCTGTTGGAGGAAATGGCTTCAATCCTTATTACACCATTTCTGCTTGTATTTGTGGTTCCCGAGGTGACATTTTGTGCCATAGAATGTTAATTTATTATTTATCTATCTACACCTCATTTTACATCCCGAGCTAATTTTGTTTCCTGTAAATTTACAGCGTGTGGATGATATTTTACAATTTATTTCAGATTTCACTGTTGATGTTGAAGGTGTTGGTCATGTCTGCAGGTCCTCCTCATTTTTATCGTCTTCTTAAACTTTTCTCTCTGGTTTGCAAAATTAAAAATCAAACTTTTATATTCTTTGTTGTAGCTTAAGCTTGTTCGACTTTGTGAGACATGGAAACAGAAAGTATGCTTCTCCATTCAATGCTGCAAAAGACATGAGGAGTTCCCAAGGGAAAATGGAGAAATCATTCCTAAGGTATTTATTCTATTAATTTTTTATATTTTTTTCCATCATTTCTTATTCATTTTAGGAAGATTTACATATCTAACAGCTCAACTTCAATTTTTACATGATACCACCTTACCTATGCATTTAAAGGTATATTTTACTTTTTAAAAGTTAAAATGGCGGTGCTTTATATATGATATGAATGATTTAGGTGGGTATAAATATAAAAAGTAAAGCTTAGCTGTTTGATATGTCAATATATAAGAATTTAATGGTATTTTATGTAAATGCGCATCGTTTCTTCATCCCCCAAATGTAAACTATCACACAGTGAATGAGTTAATAATATAAAACTTATATTGCAGTTTTCAGAGCGCCTATCCTTCCTGGGAACCTAATCCAAACGGCCAAGAGCTCCTCAGAAAGCTTCGAAATTTCAGGGAACAGCAACTGAGAGAAGAAATAAAACGGGAGTTTTCTCCAATCTGGACGAGTCCTACAAATCAATATGTACAGTTTCAACCCGAATTAATCCATAGGTTTCCCTTTTCCAAACCATACAACAATGGCGGCTTTCCTGTCTCCAGTCATAACCTCATCCCCGATCTGAGGACTCTCGACAACTACTACTTAGCTCAGCCCGTGCATCCCGTGGATGCCGACACGGCCTCCGAGACGATCCGAGAACCATGGCGAACTTACAACCAACCTCCTTACCGAGAAGACGTCGAAGAACATAATAGGATGCGATCTCATTGGGATGCCTCGACGTCGAGCCGTTTCTTCCATGGAAACTCGTTCCATCGGCATGTCACAGAGCCACACCGTGGCACGGATAATTGGTGGGATCGACCGGCCGTTCAATCATCGTCGGGGAATCAGGCGAGTTTCCTCGAGCCTCCTGTTTTCTACAACCGTAGTTTCGGGCAATACAATGATGATTTGTCAGAGCAAAGTGTTGAGGAGGAAGTTGAAGATGGTGTTGGCGTTGGCGTTGGCGGTGGCAGAAGTAATCTTCGGCCGCCATTGTGGGAGACGACATATATGGATGAGGATGATGATGAAGGATTCGGTCTGCATTTCACCGATGAACTTAAAAATGGGAGGTCGCAGAGCTCGATTGGGAATGGTCATGAAAGATATTTGGGTAATCTTCCTGTAAGAATAATACCAAGGAGCAATGATCCTGTGGAATAATGAATGAAATCCGTGTTAGTGTGGAAGGATTTTAATTTTTGAAGGGAATTGCATTGTTCCTAAATGCTATTTGATTACTGTTAGGATGAAAGGTGGTTGTATTCATTTGTACATAGACTTGTATACTTATCAAAAAAATAATTAAAAAAAAAATCAATTAGAACAATTATATTATTCTGGTGGATAAGGATGCATGGAAGTCACACTCCTTGGAAGCAATAAGAAATTATTTGTTGTTTTCTTAGAAGATCATTTTACATGTTAGATGAGGCTGCAAGCAAATAAGCCAAGTCGTGCAGGTTGTGTTCAAGCTCGAGTTTGTTCAAGAAATTCGAGTTCAATTTGAGATTTTAAAACATGTTAGATGAGGCTGCAAGCAAATAAGCCAAGTTGAGCAGGGTTGTGCAGGGTTGTGTTCAAGCTCGAGTTTGTTCAGGAAATTCGAGTTCAATTTGAGATTTTAAGATTGTGTCCAAACTTGAGCTTGTTTAAATAATTCAAGTTTTGAGCGAGCTTTGTGTTCTTGTTAAGGCTTAAATTCTTATTTGGGTTTGGCGGTTGATTCATTTCATATGAGCACATTATATTATATTTTTTTTCCAATTTTACTTAAAAATAGATCTTTATTTATAAACTATAGTTATATTATATTTTTTTTCCAATTTTACTTAAAAATCAATCTTTATTTATGAAACAATTTATTAAAACATAAATTTATGAATAATTTGAAATATATTAAATTTTAGGGTCGGCCAAGCAAGCCAACCCTTTAAATTTCAGAAATTATGTCAGCCATATGTCTAGATAACCATACAGCACCCATTATAATAATAATGGGCGTGGCATATATAACCAACTGACCCTTTTAATCTTCCCTGGTAGCAGCATTCTCATTTTATACGCAGCCACACGTCCTTCAGATTTTGTCTTTCTGACGTGGGACTATTAAATGGTTGTGTTATCGAGGGTAAACCGAAATAAATGAAATGCGTTTTTACCGCCTATTTCCAAATAAAGAAGCGCGCAGTTTATTTTTTCTTTTTTTTATTGAAATACAAAAAAAAAAAAAAATCAAAAATACATTGTGGCTGGTTTAGAAAGTGGAACGAAAAATTTTAAATTTTTTAGGGTTTATATATATGAACTTATATATATATATTATATATATATGTGTGTGTGTGTATTATAGTTTTGCAAGACATATTAAAAAAATATTTGATATTTTGCATTATATTTTTTTGGATATGAGTGAAGCTATTAATTAAACTGTTGATTATAAAAATTAAAATGTTGTTATACTAATAAGTTATTAATTAGTTGTTTGAATGGGAAAGAATGTTTAATGAGTTGATCAAGCGTAAATTAAATTAAAATTTAAACATTCTATAGTTAAACATTAATTGATGATCAAGATATTAAAATCTTTTATTCGATAAAAATATTTTTTTAACATGTATATTAAAGTCGTTTAGCGAACTATTTTATTTTTATTTAATTTATAAAATAAGTAAAAATAGAGTTAATTATTGAAATTGTCTCCAATTATTTACATGGTGTCTTTTTAGTCTTAGAATTTATTTAAATTGACACAAAAATAATTTTTTTTGAGATGATTATTAGAGTTCAATTATATAGTAATTGTGAATTATTTTGACACTGATATAATTTATATAATTAAAAAAATAATTTAATATTAAAAAAACTGCTGCTTTTTAAACTTCCCTCAAGTTTTTAGTATCAAGGCAAACCTGGTTACTTCGCGCCATAAATTGAAAGATTTTACCCCTTGCATCACTTCTGCTGATCCTTTCCCGCCAACTTCAAAGAAGCTCCTTTTTATTGCTTCCCAGTTTTCTCTTCGTAGCTACTCCATCCCCCCTTTTTTTCCCGTTGTTCTTATTCTCTCTTTCTTTCACGGCTCTGCTGATTATGGGGTTCGAGACTCCACCAGATCCTTCAATCCTCCTCGCCGATGAGATTCAACGTATCAGATTAGTTTTGGGGAACGAAATTACGGTAGTGGAAATCCTCCACGCCCTCGCCGTCGCGGGAAACAACGCCGATCGAGCCATCAACTTCCTCCTCGACGCCCCGAGGCCGTCATCCAAATCCGAACCGATGAAGGAGAAGAATGCTTTTCATGGGCCGCAGCTCGAGCTCAATGCCTTGAAGGAAGAAACCATTAATCATGAGCTGCTGCGACGCAGATCCGATAATGCGATGGAGAATGCTGTTATTCAGCCCTGCGGCAAACAACGCCGATCGAGCCATCAACTTCCTCCTCGATGCCCCAAGGCCGTCATCCAAATCCGAACCGATGAAGCAGAAGAATGCTTTACATGGGCCGCAGCTTGAGCTCAATGCCTTGAAGGAAGAAACCATTAATGATGAGCTGCGACGCAGATCCGATAATGCGATGCAGAATGCTGTTATTCAGCCCTGCGGTGAATCCGGCACGGCTGGCATGGGAAATAGTATCAAGAAGGAAGAACCTTTTATGGGTTCTGATAAAGAGACCATCTTGGTTGCTGATTGTAAAATAAAGAAGGAAGAACCTGTTGTAGGCTTAAAGAAAGGGGAAGCTATGGATTTTGATCAAGACGAAGGCCCCAAGGAAAGGAAGGAAACATCAGAGGAAAGCTGCGATAATTTCTCCATGATAACGACCGCCCATTATTCTCCTCATCTCAATGCTCGACCAATCAGGGCTATTCCACCGAAGTCTCTAACAATGCCTGTCTCCAATAAGAAATTTCAAGTGGTATTAAGTCCCGACCCATCCGAAATGGCAGAATTTCTTGAAGAACCCGACTGGTTTCTTGTTGGGAAGTCTTATGTGATGGGATTAGCGACAGCCCGTGGGCGGGGAAAGCTGGACTCCAGTGAGATTGTTTACTTCAACTTCCCGAAGATCGCTGACGGTAAGTTGTATGGGAGAAGGGGGGTTAGTTCGAAGGCAGCAGCTGCAAACTCTGAGATTGTCCGCTTCTCAACAAAGCGGTCTGGTGAGGTATGATAGCTATGATCATTCGTCCTTCTCTCTGTTCAGCCATAGAATGATGCTTCTTTACGCTGAACTTAGCTTAATGACAGAGATTGCGTTATATGTGAGGTAATTTTTAATGTTGGTCTCTAACTTTGCTCACTTTAAGGTGAATTAGTTTTTAAGGTTCTTTTGTTTTTATCTTCCATCTGCAGCTTTTACATTCACAATTCCGTTTTTACTGAGGGTGCTAAATCCTCTTGGAAGCTGGAAGCTAACACCTTTTACCCTGCACTGCATCCTCTCCACAACCTATTCTGTCTACTGAAGATGAAGCCATTCAAGGAGGTATTTAGCTTTATCTCGGCTACTTTTAAACGTTTTGCTTCTCACAATTATCATTGGTCTGTAAAAAATGTTTATTTTGTTGAAATTCTGATGCTTTGCTTCTTGAATCAGGCTGATTTTACTCCAGAGGAGCTTGATAGCCGCAAGAGGTCCTTAGACCTGAATGTAAGAACAATATTTTTACACTAACAACATTCGTAAGCTAATAATTAATTTATGGGTACATCAAATATGATTATCACATGTATTCTTAGTAAATGTACTCCTAAAAATATATAGGTTCCTTTCCATTTATCTGTACGTAAAATTTATAGCTTCGTAACTTCAAACTTACAATTAAAACAGAATCAAGAATCTGGGCAAATTGAAGGGCTTGCAAAGCGAAGGAAGGGGGGCACAAGTTATATAGAACAAGGTGACGATGAGCAAGCAATTTCTGAGGCTTCTCTCAACAAGCTTGTTGGAACAGCGGAGGTGTATAATCTGCAGGTAGGGCAATGAAATTATGTTTTTTTAATATATTTTTTTGTTTGTAAAAAAAGGCAAAGATTTCACATTATTATGTTATTCTTTCAAGAATAAAAAAAAGGAAAAAAAACTATTTTGAATGATTTTCTCTTCTGCTTGATAGGAAGCTCAACCTCCAAGCACCCTTCTTTCTAATTTGTGGTCATACCAAAAGCAAGCCCTTTATTGGATGTCTGAATTAGAGAAAGGAATTGATGTTGAACAAGCAGCAAAAACTCTTCATCCTTGTTGGTCAGCCTATAATATTTGTGATAAGTATGATGAGCATCCTTGAATCAAATTATGATTAAAAGGTTCAAAATTGATTTATTCCCACTTTTTTCTTATTATTTAGCACATGTTAAATTGCAGGAGGGCTCCAGCAGTCTATGTAAATGTATTTACTGGAGAAGCTACCACTCGATTTCCAAGTGCTACTCAGATGGCTCGAGGAGGAGTAAGCTCATTAGAATATTTGTTAAAACTCAATGATTTGTGTTTTTGCTTTGGATTTCATAGGAAAATGTCTTAAGAAAATTAGCTTTGTTCTAGTGTGCTTGAGTTTGAATCTCGATTAATTTGATGGCTAATCATCATTTCATTCATATAATTTCTTAGCTAGCCTTCCTACATTTTGTTTCTAGTCAACAGTGTGGCTTAAAGCTTTGGTTTTGATCATTATAAATATGGAATTTCAATATAAAGAGTTGAACGGCACTTTTAGTTCATGTCTTAGCTATTTCCTGGTTGATTATTATTATTATTTTTATATTATTTTATTTTATGACACTTTAACTTTTATTTAGGCCTGTGGAGTTTATGCTTGCACAGGAAAAGTTCGAAACTTTAAATCTGAAATTTTTTTGTTAGACTTGTTTCATATCTGAGAGTTGAATTAGTCTAAACCTCCCATCGTTGAATTTGAGATTTCTCTAAAAATGATAGTAAATTTAATATTTTTCTTATGCAATTTTGGAAATTTAGTAGTTTTGTCCACTCAATAGATTTTTTTTGCGTAGTGCCTGAAAAATGCCAACATTTTATAATTTTGCTCAGCCTTAAAATTTATGTTGGTTCTGCCCATATCTGAATTAATGATACATGTTTAGATTCTAGCTGACGCAATGGGACTTGGAAAGACTGTCATGACGATTGCCTTAATCCTTGCAAATCCATGTAGAGCGGCACCGGATGAAGATGCTGCATATGTGGAAGCATGGGATGAATCAGAGAGAAGTTTGAATAGACATTCACCAAGAGTTAAAGGAGGCACACTTATTGTTTGCCCAATGGCATTGCTGGGTCAGTGGAAGGTCAGCCTTCATATATATACCACTCAATTCTTATGTATTTACATATCTAATAACATGTATTTACATATCTAACGCCTAAACTTCAATTTTTACATATATGCCACCTTACCTATGCATGAAAAAGTATTTTCCATTTTTAAAGATTTGGTGGTATAGATGTAAAACCAAAGTTTAGGTGTTGGTCATATAATTCATAGGAATTGGGTGGTATGTATGTAAATTCTCCCTTTTCTTCCTTGGTCTAACTGGGTACGCGTATAGTATATGTGATTGCGTTCTATATTTTATTTATTGTTGACTTTTCACTTCTTTGAGCTGTAATGTCTTTGTTGTGCAAGTATCTCATTTTAAACTAATTTCATATCTTAGATCTAGTTGAGATTATGTTTCTTAAAACATGTGATTAATTGATTGGTTATTATATTTACTTTTATAATATTTTGTAGTGAAAGTTTTTCTAAAAAAGGCCTGTTGAACTCAAACTGACGTACCTTTTTGTTTTGCAGGATGAATTAGAAGCACATTCAAAGCCAGGTTCTATTTCTGTTTTTGTGCACTATGGTGGGGAAAAGTCTAATGATTTAAGAGAGATTTCCAAGCATCATGTTGTCCTAACAACATATGGTGTTTTAGCATCTGCTCATAAAACTGTGAGTAAAATAATTATTTTACTCTCATTTTTGCTCTCTATTGTATTTCTTGAAGATAAAATTTAAAGCCAGCGAAATTCATTGGACTTCATAGCTTGAACTCATAATAGTCTTAACACAAAAATTTAAACTCATATAATGGCCAACCAAATAAGCTTGAGCATTCCAAATATATTCTAGTTAATTTATATTTCATTTGGAATGTGCATGCATTCTATGGTAGCATTCGATTAAAAGTGCGATTTTTTTTCAAAGCATTATCCATTTTGGTTAAGTATGACGTTTCATGTGCTCTTTTTAATCTTAATAATAGGGGTCTGAGAAGAGCATCTTTCACAACATAAGATGGTATCGAGTTGTTCTAGATGAAGCACACACTATTAAGTGTTCAAAAACCAGTGTGGCTCAATCAGCCTTCGCATTAACCTCACACTGCAGGTGGTGCCTTACAGGCACTCCACTTCAGGTTTGTAATTTGTCATAAAGATTGTCTCGAAAGCATATGCATTTTGATATTTTCAACGAAGGGCCAAAAATTAAAAATGGTTATAAAATTGTTCATCTGATTTGAGATTCCATCTTTAGCTTTGTTTAAAATTGTTCATACAATTTGCATTTTTCTCCTTGCCTGCAGAATAGTTTGGATGATCTCTACAGCCTACTTTGTTTTTTGCACGTACAACCATGGTGCAATTGGTCTTGGTATGTTATGCGAGATACTTAAGTTCTGTAGGCCGCCCATGACTCTCATTGGATACATTTTTAATATGAAAAAAAAATTTTTTGGCCTCTGTTTTCTTAAAAATGGATTTTTTCAGCTTACTCTTTAATATTATAAAAGAAAGTTCTGTCCTTTAATTTAGTTTCCTCGTTTGACTCCGCAGGTGGCATAAGTTGATTCAAAAACCTTATGAGAATGGTGATGAAAGAGGACTGAGATTGGTTAAGGCTATCCTGAGGCCATTGATGCTAAGAAGAACGAAAGAGACGAAAGACAAAGAAGGAAAGTGAGTAAAAATTTCACTGCGAAGTTCCTAATCCTTCAGTAATGGTGTTTTGAAGGACTCCTTATTTAATGCTTGAATAATAAGTGCTTCAAAACATTGATTTCAGGCCTATTCTCGTGCTCCCACCAGCGCATGTTCAAGTTGTGGAATGCGAGCAGTCCAAAGAAGAGCGCGATTTCTACAATGCTCTCTTTTGGAAGTCAAAGGTAATCATTGTGCAAAATCCATAAACTTGTTTTTCACCGTGACTGATCTCTTTAACGTTAATCTGATAAATCTGTAAACTGCAGATCAAATTTGATCAGTTTGTTGCCGAAGGCAGAGTTCTTCACAACTACGCTTCCATCTTGGAGCTTCTCCTTAGATTAAGACAGTGCTGCAACCACCCTTACCTTGTCATGAGGTTAGCCTAAACCCTAAATCCAAAATAGTCTATCAACTCAAGATCATTAAATGCCTGTGACCACTGTTTTATCTGAAATTTTCAGTCGTGGACACAATCAACAGTGTGCTGACCTCAACAGTCTCGCACAGCGCTTCCTGGAAGGCAGCCATGGAGGATCAACGCAGCGTCCAGCTCCAAGCTATGTTGAAGAAGTAGTAGAAGGAATCAAACGGGGAGAAGTCAGCGAATGTCCAATTTGCCTTGAATCTGCATCTGATGATCCGGTTTTCACCCCATGCGCTCACCGGATGTGCCGCGAATGCCTCCTCGCAAGCTGGAGAACTCCCACCACCGGGCCATGTCCGATCTGCCGAAGGGTTCTCACAAATGCTGAGCTCATAACCTGCCCCACTGAGAGCCCTTTTGATATTGATATACGCAAGAGTTGGAAGGAATCATCCAAGGTGAGGGAGCTGATGAATTGCCTGGAGAAGATGAGGTGCTCGGGAATGGGGGAGAAGAGCATTGTGTTCAGTCAGTGGACTTCATTCCTCGACCTCCTGGAGATCTGCTTCAATAGGAATGGAATTCAGTTCTTGAGGTTTGATGGAAAGTTGTCGCAGAAGAAGAGGGAGACGGTGTTGAAGGAGTTTGGTGAGAGCAATGAGAAGCAGGTTCTGTTGATGTCGCTTAAAGCAGGAGGCGTGGGATTGAACTTGACTGCAGCTTCTAATGTCTTTCTCATGGTATTCCTTTGTATCCTATAAATGTTAGGAAAATTAGTAGACAGATCACATCATTTCTTATGTATTTACATGTCTAACAGATGAATTTCAGTTTTTTACTTATATGCCATCTTATCTAGGCATGAAAAAGATATATTTTTTTATGAAAATCAAAAAGATGATATTTTTATGTTATACGAAATATTCAGGTAATATAAATGTAAATTAGCATTTGCATACCACTTAGTTTCTTATTTGTTTACATATCTAACCTCTAAACGTCACTTTTTTATATTTGTATCGCTCAAATATGCAAATTTAGGTTTGATATATGTAAATAGCAATGAATTGAGAGTTAATTTTGTGAATTTCTCAAATTTATTTGTAAATTTTCAAGCTCTATAATATTTTTATGCATTTTCCCCTGGTTTTCTTGCCTGGAAACATAGGATCCCTGGTGGAACCCGGCGGTGGAAGAACAAGCCATTATGAGAATCCATCGCATCGGACAAAGGAGGCAGGTAAAAGTAAGAAGATTTATAGTCAAGGTAATAACCAAATAAAGAAATCTTTTATTTATTTTGGCTGATAAATCAAAATAGTTGATTTCTAGAGTCTTGATTTGTAAACTTTAATCAAATGATATTGTGATTTAGGATACTGTGGAAGATAGAATGCAGCAGGTTCAAGCCAGGAAGCAGAGGATGATTGCTGGAGCCCTCACTGATGAGGAAGTGAGGAGTGCTCGGATTGAAGAGCTGAAGATGCTCTTTAAATGAGTTTAAGTTCCATTCTCACTCTTGAGGAAGTTTTGATTTCACTGCAGTCGTGGAAATGGCAGGTGAAGTTTTTTGTTTTCAGATTTTTGATGAAGTCGGCAAGATTGCCGCTTTTTGTAAATTTATATTTGTGTAGTGTTTTGTCAAGTAGTTAAAAGCTTGAAAATTGGTTTGTGGTGATGTGAATGGGGAGTTTGATGTTAGATGTGGTATGTAGGTGGAACCAAAATTTCAGAATAGGCTTAATGAAATTAAAATTTATTTAAAAATTTCATCTTTTTAAAAAGTTTTTAAATTTATTTTAAATATTATTATTTACAAATTTTAGTTAATTTTGATTTATTAGAAATATTTGAGTTTATGCGGTTAAATTTTCAAATTATTAAATATGCTATGTAAATGAAAGCAACAAGTCACTCATAGAGGGTTTAGTTGGAAATTATAGTTGGTTATAAGTGTTAGTTAGAGAATGTAATAGTGTTTGTTGGACAGATTGTGTAGATGAAATTTGTGCTGACCGGCCATAGATTTTAGTTGGAGGCTCAAAATGTTTGTTGACCATAAGGCCATAGTTAGAATCTAGAATAGTAGTTGGTTATAGAAGATAGTTGACAATTGAACCCTTTTTCTTAGAATGGGGTTATTTATAATTTTATGCTAGACAATGTATTAATTGGTATACAAAATAAATAAAAAAAAGTATACACGTTAAGAGTAATTGTTGTATCCTAGCAACAACAGTGATTGTCGATTTTGTGTGGTCGGTGGCGAGAGGTGGGGACAATCTATGGTAGTCGACGTTAGTGGCTATAAAAGTTGGAAGTTCTCATTGTGTTTTCAATATAATGATATTTGTTGTGTATTTGGGATACGACATTAACAAGGGTCATTGATGTCGGCGAGCAGGAGTGGTTGATGGTGGCCAACAAGCGTTGATTGATAATGATTGACAATTACAAAAGTTAGATTGTATTTAGGATATGTTTTTAGCATATAAGGTTACTCGATGATGGCGAGTGAGAGTGGCAGATAGTGGTTGAAGACTGACGATGGGGTGTGGTCAATGGGGATCGGTGGTTTTTGAGGTTGGTTGGAAGTTATCATCAGATCTTCAATAGATGTTATCATATTTGAGGTACGATGTAACAAGCAAAGGTCACCGTTGTTGGCGAATACTAGCAATCGGGGATGGATGTTTGATAGTGGTGGACGATAATTGTTGATAGTGGCCAATTGGCAATGATCGATAGGAGTCGCTGATGACAATGAGATGGTGTGCATTTCAGATCTTCGTAAAAAACTAGGTTGTTAAACTACCGCGCCTAATTTTCCAGCACTCAATAGTTATGTCCATAGTCGTGTTTTTTACATTTATACCATCTAAATCTTTTACATCACAATAAAATTACTATTATTTTAATTTTTAAAAAGTATGAAATATAATTTTTCACACATAATCTAGCATGCATGTAAAAATTAAAGTTTAGATGTTAGATATGTCAATAGATAAGAATTGAGTGTTCATGTATATAAATGTCCTAAGAAAAAAAATTGTTTTATTTCTTAAGTTAAAATGTTTTTTATTGACAAATACCAAAATTATATAGAATAAATGTTTTGAATTAAAATATATAATTATTATTTATGATAATATGAAGTCAAAATAGCTTTTAATTTTAACCTAGATGTCTGCTGTTCTACTTGTGCGGGTCTGGCGAATTCATGTATGCTGTAGAATATAAAATTATACATTATAGTATTATAATTTTTATACTATTAGAGGCTAAAAAAATTCAGGCTTAATTAAATTCTATGTCACTATAAGTCTAAGAGATTGCATATATTTTTGAGATTCACATACATCCCACACATCTTATATATTTACATCTAAAACCTAAAGTTTGATATTTAAATTTATAATGATTTAAAGTTTGATGTTTAAATTTATAATGCTTTGGTGTTATAAAATTATATATATATATATATATATATATATAATATTTTTTATGTGATGTTAAAAATTTTATCATATTATATATAAATATGAAAGTATGTTTTAGATATGAAAATAAATATAAAAACTTGATTGTATTTATATAAATACCCTTATATTTTTTTCTTAAAGCAGTTGTTGCCCTCTGAATAAATTTTATAAGTCAAATTAACTCGACCTAATGAAAGAGATACAACATGAATATAGCATCACATATATCAAGATCTGAATACTTATATTGTGGTCAAATTCATCCGAAATGACCCTCGATCACAAGCTAATTTAAGCAAGGGCATTCGAATCATCGAGACGCTTCATTCGTGCTCGAATCAAACTTTATTTGGTATGCATTAAGGGATCAAATATTCACCTTATTTGAAAATTATATAAATTTATTTATTAATTATATGCCATTTTTAAATTCAAATTTAAATATTCTCTTCATAAATTTTTATTTTAATTAAATATTAATGAGCAAATAATTTAGCTTCATCCCAATGTGGAAAGAATTAATTTTCTTGCCAATAACTGTTCAATGAATCTGGACGAAAAATGCGATGAAATTCGATCAATTTTTTTTCTTTTTTGGAAAAATTCTCCTCCATTTATTTATACATATATATATATATATATAT